GCACCCTAAAGTTACTCGTTATAAGGAATAAAGCACCCTAAAGTTACTCGTTATAAGGAATAAAGCAGCCCACAGAACAAAGTACTAATTAAAGAAGTTGAGGGGTAAATACGGAAGAAGAAAATCCCCCTCCAAACCCTGGGAGCCGCCGGCTCCAACCACGGCGCAGGCAGCAATTCCCAAAGGAGTTTTGCACAAAACGAACAAACTATATGACAAATAAATAACCAAATAAATGAGCAAACGGGTCGGTTGGGGCAAACCCCCCCCCTCTCCCGGCGCTGTCACCTACCCGGTCCGAGGAGCCCCGCGCGGCCCCGCTTGGAGTCCTCGGTCCCACGCGCGGCTCGTGAGCCCCGGGCCTCCCCGCGGGCCCGTCACGCGCGGGGACAACGCAGGTACCGGCGCTTTCGTTTGGCCCGCAGGCAACGTCCTGCACGCGCGTGCAGAGGGGGCGCAGGGCTGCGAGCTTTTAATTAGCTAATTAATGGATCGATTTGCATGCAAGCACCCGGGTGCAAGCTTTGCTTTTGTGCACAGCGTTCAGCTCAGGTGTGCAAAGCGCTTTTGCTTGCGTAGCAGCAGGACGCAAGAGCCTTTTAGCCTGCACATGGGAGCACTTAATGCAAGCCTATAAACTCATTTTTTTTATCAACACGTGCAAAATAACTCAGAACAGGGATGCAAACTTTTTTTTTTTTGTTTGAAAGTACATGTGCTTTCGGGCCATCATGGCATAGGGGAGCAAACTCTAGCAAGCGCAAACATTCAGGCTTCTAAGTTGTTTTCCTTTTACGGGCATGCAAAAATAAAGAGAAAAGAAAGGAGAGGGCAACTGAAAAGAAAAGCGGCCGGGTGGCCCAGGTGCAGGCGATGGGGTGATAATGACTCCTTGTTGGGGCCTTTTTAACGCACCCCGCCGCCAGCTGCGCCTCGTTCAGTGCTTGGCGCCGGCGCCAGGTGGCGGTGGCGGCTGGGCCCGCTCTCCGCGACGGGGGCGGAGCAGGAAGCGGCGCAGGAAGCGGCAGCGGGACGGGGACAGGGACCGCGACAGGGACGGGGACAGCGACAGGGACCGGCCGGGTGGGC